TATATATATATATATATATATATATATATATATATATATATGCTATGCAACGATTTTCAGGTTGTTCTCACAGCGATCTACAACCGCTTGAAAATTATGTTAATCTTTCATATGACAAAGCATTCTGTATTGTAAAATCCAGTCAGTTACTTTCTTTAAAAAAAAATTGGAGTGTCTAAAATTAACTTCAAATTGGATTTAGAAAATATGAAAATGATTATTATGTTTCATTTATTTATGAAGACCATTCACAAAGTTGGCATAGAATTTTACAAGGGAATTTCTTTATTAGAGATTTTAAGTTGTGGTTTTTTTAAAAAAATAATTAAAAATGCGGCTTTAACTAATTAACATTATTCTCCTGCCTTTGCTTTTAGCTTTACGCAATGTTAATGCAAGTGAATTACCAACAACATGCAAAACCGGCAAATTATGGACACCACTTCCAATGGCCACTTTGGCTGTGAATAATTCAAATTACCAACGAAACAATATCGTCAAAAATTATGGTATGTTTGGCTTTCATAACAATGACTATTAAAATGTTTGCAAAATGATTTTTACTGCAAGGAGCAATGAAATATTCAGATTTCTAAATGATTTTCTTTGCTAAATACTTTTCATTTGGATAATTACAGTGATTAAACTTAAGATCTCTTTTTTGGATTCATAGTAAAGCATAGAGTAAGTCTTTACCTTTTCTATTCCAACACCTTAATTTTCAACATATTGCTGATAAGGACAAATTAGGTTAATTATATGAATTCATAAAACTCAGAAGTTAGAATCATTCATTCTTATCTGAATTTCAATGGGTTATTTCTTCCTCTTGTTGTTTAAGGGTAATCACTGAATGGAAATTAGGAAATGTTAATATCTGTTTGTAACAATGATAAAAAATATATTGCACAATCCTGCATGATAAATTAATCTTTACAGTACACACTCAAAATAAATGTAAATAATTTGTCTAAAGCAAACAGAATGTGTTCTATCTAACTTATAGAAATGTAAATTGTTAGATAGTATCTTCTCGACTTCAAATATTTTTCATACTTACAACTGTTCAAGTCAGCGAAATTGTGCATTTAATCTATTTTATCGTCTTTCCGCTCGAGAATGCACTATTCAAACATATTAGTTATCAATACACCGTAACACTTTTGCTACACTTACGTGAAATGCATAAAAGTCATTTTCTTAATTATTAGCGTCAATATTAACAAATCATTATATTCTGCAGAAATTCAACGTGGTGTAGTTTTGGAAAGTTATTGGATTGGCATAGAGCGAACAGATGGAAGGAACTGGTTAATAAATGGTAGAGAGATTACTTTCGACTCACGCTTTAATTGTAAAAATCACTGTTATGTCACGGTTCTCTTTTTTATGTATTTTTAAATTTTGTAAATCAATTTACAGTTAAAGTTTGAGAAAATGGAACTGATATTTATATCACTGGGCTGACTTCAGTATTACCCATTCGATTCAAACAGGTTGAAATAGCATATCGCTATAAAATGAATGGTTTAGCGGATGTTAATTCTTTAAATAGCATAATTGAGATTTGTTAATGATTGCAATGTGTATTATAGACAAGTTGTAAGATAAAAGCGTTGAGATGAATGTTTTACCAATCTTTTTTGAAGTAAAATTTTTTTATGAATTAAAATTAAACAAAAAAATTGCATTTTATACAGCAAATAAAAATGTCTGTAATTGCAGGAAATCTTACTCAGTACTGAAGCATACAAGAAATATACAAGTGAGAAGAAACATTTCGTCTGTGTCAAAAATGGTCAGTTTATTTTCTTCACAAATGTTGAAAAATTGACAAACGATGGTGAAATTTTGTGAAAAACCTGAGAATACTGAAAAGTCTTCCTCTCTCCAGCTCAAAATGCATTTATTTTAAAAATATTTCATTAAAGAAAAGTGGGAATTGTTGTCGAGTGACGATTCAGAGAAATGCATGGCTGTTTGTATTACCACAGTTGACAACAGTTGAATTTATATGAAGATGTATTATTATGAATCGCTCTATTTCTTGCTTAATTCTGTTGTCTCCTTTCTAGATCCATCAAATTTTGATAACTTCAAATTAGTTAAGCATTCAGGAAAAGAGATAGAATGGCTTTGAGCATAGCTTAAAGCTTCCAGTTTCAAGCTTAATAAAAGTCAAGCAAGTTTTAAGATCACTTCCAATAATCAATTCGAGTTGAGCTGAAGTTCTTCAGCAGAATAATTCTCATAAATATAACAGAAGTTATTATATACTGTACCCACCATTTATTAGGTAAATGCTTGGAAGTAATCATTATACACAAATTTAGCAACATCACCCGATATTTATGGAAATAAAACTTACTTCCTTTTCAACGACGTAAATTCGATTAGTATGCCGATCCGAGTCTTTCTCTTATTACCAAGAGCTTCCACATCAGTTCTGTAAAAATAGATACAGATATGGACTGGAAGCTCATTGAATAAAAATTCAAAAGAAACTCTATTCCTCAAATATTCAGTTATTTGTAAAACTATCTGAAGTGTAGTAGAAGTTAAAATTGGGTATAGCTACTATTTATGGATAATACGGTATAGTACGGTTTCTTTAACAATAAATCGAATTACCATGATGAATAAGCAAGGTAGGATGGACATGTTTACGAGGAAAGTTGGCCTTACAGCTGATGAAAATTAAAAAAACCATTCATATTTATGAAAACTTACGTTCTTTTAATAAGCTGAATAAACATTCTGATCCTGAAGAAAGTGAAGTGCCTTACACTCGTAAATACAGGTCTTGCAGAAGGATACTCAGCAGTTTCCTTGATACCACTGTTAATCTTTCAAAACGAAGATATTACAAAACGTCAACCCGGTGCGATTTCACCGACAGAAATCAGTGAATGAACTTTGAATGTATCATTTTTTTGCTGTGATCAATGACTTTCTGAAACTTAAATTTGTGAAATTTATATTTTTGAAAAGAAAATCAAACATATCTCATACATTTTACTAGATTTAAAGGTAACTACAAGAAATTTCAATGATTCAGCTACAACACTTTGTTGATATAAGCAGTGGAAGAAATGAATCTTTAAAAATTAAACAGTAAAACCATCCTTATACTGTTAAATCCATTATTATCGATAATGACTACGATAAAAAAGAGGAAAAGATTTGAAAGTAAGACCGAAGAATAGGAATATTGGTCGGCTCATTATTAGACTCAAGGACTTCTCATTTCTCTCTTCTCTCTGACATTTTTGTTGTGTATAATAATCTTATCAACTGGCAACAGAAGCATTTTTCACTTGAGATGGAATTTCATTTCCCATTTCCGATTTCTTCAACTTTTCCTAGGAAAGAGAAATTGAAAGGTTGGTTACAGAAATGAATAAGCCAGCTTAAAAACATAAGATTCAGTTAATTTCTATTTGCGTTATTCCTTATTTTCTTCGAGTAAACGGATTTCTAGAAATTCGCTTATTGGTTAATTAAGTAATGTCACGAAAAAACTTTCTAATTTTCCGGAAATCCTGAATATTTATATAATTTTGTTATTATGCATTGCGTATTCCTAAAAAGAAAGGATATTCCTTTGATGAATGCAAAAATCAAAGAAGTTGAGAGAACGTATAACTATTTCCCATTCAAATGGTCCATGAAAATCGTACGGATTTTAGAGACATATATCTATCTACATGATTCAAGTGTGATGTTGTATTGATTGTATTCTTAATGCTTTTCAAAGAAAGGAAAAACATTTTGCGTGTATTCATTTTAAGAAAAAAAAATTGATATTTTCTGATTGTCAAAATGATATTTTCTGATGTCAAAATGATATTTTCTGATGTCAAAAATGATATTTTC